GGGGGGGGGTGCCTACTGACAGTGCGGGAAGGTGGCTGGGCACTGAGGCTCCAGCAAGGCAGGTGGGATGGGGGGAAGGCACCTGCCCCTTCAACAGGGGAAGGGCCAAGGGAGAGCTACGTGACCAAGGCTGACAACACCAGAGCTGGTGCCTGTACTCGCAGGTGTGGGGTGGCCAGGAGACACTGCTCAGCAGTGCTGTCAGCAGCGGGAGCACAGCTCTGGCAAGCAGTGAGCTCCCGCAGGTGGCCACAGCACTGTCAGCAGCGGAGTGGGGTGGGGACCACCCGCAGATGCTGCCAGCAGCAATCGTGGACTGCCTGCAGATGCAGCCAGTGCTGCTGGCAGTGGGGGGAGGGGGGTAGTGACAGGTGACCACCCGCAGATGCCACCAGCAGTGGCAGCAGCACCTTTTTGCAGGGGGTGCACCACCAAGCTCAGGGGGTGCATGTGCACCTGCGGGTACCCCCTACACATCACCAATGTTGGGGGCCCCCTTTGCCAGGGCTGTGGAGGGGGCCAGGAGGCTGCAAGTTGAGAGTGAGGGGCACCAACATGGCCTGGGAGGGCAGCAGACTGTGGGTTGGGCACCAGCAGGGCTAGGGGCATGTGGGTATCAGGGCTAGGGGCATAAGCCATCAATCTTGGCAAATGGGTCCCAGCATGAAAAAGGTTGAGAACCACTGATTTAGAGGACAGTCCCTTTCACTGGCTTCAGAGGGAATGTGCTGGGGGCGGGGGTGCATTATTGGTAAGTTAAACCCCAAAGAGGAAGGATCTCCCACTCCTTTAGATTTTGTACTCTGCACTTTTGATTGATAGACTGTAGGATGGATATATTCCTGTCCCTGTGCCAAGTGAATGTAGCTGAGCTCAGTGCAGGGCATTTTGCAACAGTCCCAAGGCACAATCCTCATCCTAACCTGGCCATGGAAGCACACAAGAGCCCCTCCCTATCATAGTAGGGGGCAGCACCATGCTTTTGGATTTAGCTGAAAACAAAATTTATGTGCCCCACTCCTATAAGCCAAGGTAGAGGTAGCCTTTGTAATACAGCTTTGGAACACACATGTATTGGGAACAGTGGCTGCATCTACACAAGACACTGACAGCGCAGTTGTTACTGAGCAGTCATTTAGTACTTGTATAAACAATAAATAAATGTATAAACAAGCACTAAATGACTGTATAGTAACCTGAGGTTACTGTGCAGTAGTGCCAACAAACACCTTTTTCATGCCGGGGTAGCGTTGCATCACAGTTATTGCCAAGCGATGTTACTGCGCAGTAGTATCAGGCTACTGCATGGTCAGGGTCTTCTGTAGACATGGCCAGTGAATGCTTAATTTTAAAAAATCAAATTGACTTCAATCAAGTCCCTCAGTGCTTCCATATATAGGAGACAGAAAGCAAATAATTACAAATACAATATTTACACATACAAGCACAGGGACACAAGTCAGAAAACAAATTAGGTGTTCAGCTGTAGCTTCCTGTACTCTAGCAAACCACAGAATCATACCTACCATACCTTCATACCATCATCTACACCATCATTTAGGCACATAATTGAATTGTGGAGCTGTTACATATATGTTGAAAAGTACAACTGCTTATCTAATTAGATGTTTAAACTACCAGGTCTGAGTACAGTAGGTTTATTATGTAAATGTAGTTGTGTGTAACAACTGTCTTCTAAATAACAGGATCAGATCTTAACCTCTTGTATTCATTTCAGTTCGAAACAGCCCCTACATAGAAACATCCCCCACCTCTTTTTTATGCCCTCAGACAGTAACATAGATTTAATATTAGCTGACAAGTGATGCAATGTGCTCAGATGCCTAGGCATAGTGTCTTCAATGCATTTTGGCTAGGAACCCAGCTAAGCCAGTATTGTAACAGAGGGTGAAGCTAATTCCACTACATGAAATTTTGTTAGTGTTACAAACAAAGTCCGCTATTCTATAAACTATATCATGGATGTGACTCAGTATAATCAACGTGAGATGCATCATTTTGGATGTTTTGTTTTTTAAACATTTAAACTCAAAATGTCCTCAGAGTAAATCAAAGTTATTCTTAATGTTTTGAAATACCCACAACCAAAGCCATTCCCAATTTTAGAAAGATATAAAGTCCTTAATTATTTTCCACTTCAGAAAGAGGGCTTAAATGCCTCTTGTGTGTGACCTGTGAAACCACTGAATAAAGACTCCTTATCAATTAATCATTGAGAGATGCATATACCTTTAACGTCACTATATCATAATTCATTGCAATGGCAAATCTCTTTTGGTTATACAAGTTCTTGTACAGGATATCAGCTGTTCTGAGAAAATTTAACATTTAGATTGAGAGTTGTGTTCAACTGGAAGTGAATTCCACACCATCTGTGGGAACCCATTGTTACAAGCATTATTTGCTAATCAGAAACTGATCTCCTTTAGCATATCAGTAATGTCACCTGCAAATTCAGCCTCAACTACGTCTATCTTAGATTCTTAGGTATCACATTGGGCAGTTGGTATACTGATAACTGGATGGCTAGTGAAAAGAGTAGGTAGTGATAGTGGGCATTCAGGTAGTTCTACTTTTCTCTGGGGGTTAGTGTCCTCATTTGGTTCTTTCTGCAACCCTTTTGATGTCAACAATCTGTTGGTGTGCGAAACTCCTGAAGAATCATCACAATGCTTTTTACCTTCCAAGCAATGCTGCTGCTTATTTAGCTTTGTATCAGCTGGTGTTTCTTCCTTGAAGGATGATGCTGGCTGGGAACATTCTCCTAAGATTCCTTCTTTGTTCTGACTTGGCAGAGGTTCTTCCATAAAATAAGAGCTGGACTGAATAACATGTTTGTTTTCCAAACCATCACATTGCATTGAGATGTTGTGAGCTGACTGAGATGTGACATCTGCACATGGAAGTATTTCAATGGGTTTTGCTATGGATATATAGCTCAGTTGTGATGACCGGGCTAACCTACCTTTCTTCTGAGTGTGTGAAATGGTACTTAGTGGCTTTCCATAAAACCAGCACAATTTAGAGACTGCTACTGGAATCTCTTGTGTAGGAAAACTTTCATAGAATACTGCTAATTTTGGATTCACTCCATGCACAAGAAGGTCATTTCCATCACATTCAGCCTTTGTTGTTGAAATGTTCCTCTCTTTTGATGTGAATTTACTGACTGGTGCTTCAGCATAAAGAAAGCTCTGAACTATTTTCTCCACAAAAGTTTTTTCTTTCTGTGAATCTACTAATATTTTGGTTTTTCCATCTGAAGATAAAATATGAACACTGACTTTCTT